AAAATGAATAGGTTATTGTCAAAATAATAAACAAGAGGTTCATCCTACCGTGGACCAAACTAGTCAAAGGTTTCGAAAAATACGAGGTTATAATCCACTACTAACTACTGATAACACACAAGGACATCTAATAACCATAAAAGATCCACATATTTTCCGAGCTTGTGGTAAACTCATCAGTTATCAAAATCAAACACATACTTCTCAAATGCTGAAAATATTCCAAATTAAAACAAAAACACCAAATTCCAGAATCTCAGCAAGAGATTCTTACACGTTCAATAAAAGTGATATCAATACATTTGTTAAATTTATAAATTAAACTGATCTCCGGCAACTATACTATTTTAATATGATCCTTAATAATGCAAATAATGTAATAATTGTATTGGTTAAATGACATCGTAGTCGTTGATTCCAAATATTTTGTAAAAATAACATTAAAAATACGTAAAACAATTGTTAGTTTTCGGTATAAAGACGTCATTATGTTTTCTATGACGAAATTCGAATTTCTTGACAGTTCTTTGTGTGGAAATGTGGGTGATACGTGACCGCCATACGGACTTTAAAGGAATATTGTTAGACATACGTCAACAGTTCGTGATATTTAGTTGTCTTAAGAACCGGTGTAACTGGCGTTCTGTACCATCTGGACTTACTAAATTTGTTATAATGCTATGAAACCCTGGAATATTGTTGTTGGAGTAAAATTAATCAAGATCTATTGTACCACACTATACCACCCCATATGAGTTAAAACCTAACCAGTGGCGCGAGTATTGAAGATTCTAGAGTAATTTTTCTCGAGTAAAAATATAGTTTTGGAGCGAATATCTCTGGTGAAAATAACATCATTGGATATAATATCTATTGCAGTTGTAGTAGGATAATTACAGCAGGTTCACGTTGGGAATTGAAAAAAAGATTTCAACGATTTCTCGCTATTAAGAATATAAAATATTGTGTTATTAAATTACATTTTAATTAATAGTTATTTATTACAATATTGACTTTGAACAATACGCATTATTGTTTATGGTTTCAACTTTTATAAATACAGAATTATCTGAATACTTCTTATTGATTTGGTAAGCCGTTAGTTATTATATACTTACCATTATAGGTACTATTATACCTATGTTTATATTAAGTGTCACAGAATTATGATGAATGTTCAACGAAATGGTTCGTGACTAAGAGCTTTTATGTAAAATATGTAAATCTCTTGACACGTGTACATGTAATGAGATGATTGCATTATTTTTTCATATAATGTTAAAGTTCCTAAAACACATTATTATTGAATAAATAAATTATTTTTGACTCGGCAGTAAGTAATAATTTTCAATATTTCTAAAAATGCATTAACTTCATTTCTAAACTGTATCTAGATTAGTTGATTAAGTGCAGGTCATTAATACCTATTTATTTGATATTAAAATATATTATTTCAAACCATTATTTTAGTTTATTCCTAAATAAAATTGAATGTATAATGTTCATGTTAATAAAATAACTACCTGTACAGTATACACATATTACATTCATAATGCAATTACTTTTTATATATTTATTATAGCTTATAATATTTCATTTCAAAAATATAGTAAAAATCAACTAAAATTAATTTTTGAATAGAACTAGTAACTGCAGTACTACACACTTACTAAACTACTTTGGTAGGTCATGAACTCTATGTAATGTTATGTTTAATAATAATAATAATTCAAATAATGTGTTTGAAAATCATTACAAAAATGTATTTTGATCATTTTATGTTATCAGTAGATGAATATGTTTTTAATGAAATATTAAACCTATATTCCAATTGCAATAATAGTTTTTACTATTAAATTATATCAATGGTAAAAATATAATTTAAGTAAAAATGCATGTATACGTCAAATTGATTTTATACACTGCGTAGTGTAGATAGTGCCAACAAAATAATTTTACTTATTACAATATATTTTTTCATGAGTTGTTATATTTGTAAATTAAATTAAATATTGTTTGAGTTAAGTATATGACTTGACTTAAACATTTACTAATTACTATGAATGCTTAGGTATATAATGTGTGAAAATCAAAAATAATTTAATAAACTTCAACGGATTCTACTTTAGACTCAAATGTCTTTTCAAAATATAATATATAATATATACATTCTTATATATTTCGATGAAATGTAAAACAGCCAATGGCCGAATCGCTGATTTTTCAAGGGGTAACTGAATTTATGTCTTTATAATTAATAATTATGTTGTGTTTTTGTAGATTCAAAGGGAATATGATTTATATGTTACAATATACCTATGATGTATTATCATATAGTACACTGTGTCTGAACAAAACTTACGTTACCACAACTTTTGACTAAGAACGTACGTAAAGTATAATATAATATATTGTTGAGGAATAGAACTCTAGTCATGGAACAATCTGCCTTTGGGGTTTGTGGTTATATTTGAGAAACATAATAATAATATATTACGTAGTTACTTTTGAAAGCTAAAGGTATGACAAACACGTTTTTTACGATTTTCTGAATAAAATATACGTCTATCGTGTATTCATTCACATTATCATTGGATGTGTTTGAAAAAGAAAAATGAATTGTGAACTTTACAGTTCCGTTCTATAATGTGAATCTTATATGATATATTATATGTGTGTACAGTAAATACATGGAAATAAAGTTATGGCGGCTCTTATAGTGCTGTTATTATTTAAGGAGAACAATTTAGGCAACTTTTAATCTTGTCATCGCCGCCACTAATCTCTGTGTTAGTCGTAAATGATTATTAGTGTGAGTGCGGTTCTTATGTGTAAAATATAAAATTAGAATTTTGAAAAAAATCAAATAAATTCGGACTCGATAACAACATATTGTATGTCGTCCGGCTGCGGTTAAATTGGACACATACTCACAAGTCAACGAAGGCACTCTCGAAAAATATTTTTGTACACACGTGACAATGAATAATACTAAAAAGCTAGCCCAAAATAACATGCTATTCTAGATATTCAATTTCAATTTTGAAAAATGATTTGAATTCGTTAGCCTTCTAAGACTTGTAGGAAACAGATTTTAGACATTTTCGATGGTTTACGTATTACGGTTTCAAATGACACTTTAAAGTGCTAACAAGACCCAAAAAATGAAAAAGTTTTCCCTACAAAACACAGAAAAGATGCTAAGGAATTCAAATAAGTATTCAAAATTAAAATTGGACTACCATAAGAATGTTTATTTTTCTCCAGCTTATAGGTCCAAACGCATGAAAAATCCAATCGTTTAGAGCCACCTTAATATTTCACATTTATCCTGCTGTATATGTGTGTGCCGAATATCCTGCATTCAAACTGATTCTATACGAGAGAAATAGGAGACTATATAATATAGCCTCTGGTGTTGACGCAAAAGGTAAAAAATGAAACTGAAATAACAAGTTTACGCCTCCGTAAAACCATTAAATATATAAGCTTGACGTAGTATATACAAATACTATGCGTGACGAATGTCAACGCTGGTTCGTTCTGGTGGCAAAATCGTGTTACGACCTGTAAATCGTCAAGATTTGCGACTGTATTAATACGCGAACATAACGTTTTTTTACGATGATCAAATAAGCGATGGTAATATTATGGACGGAACGTTATACCTAACTAACAAAAAGGATTTGGCATTTAAAACGAAGAAAGAAAACAAAAAAAAATAAAAGACGCTTTTTTCCCCGGACAAGATCATATCTCTATAAAATGTATACTCGTTGTACTAACCAGGACACCTGTTTGAAGGGTAACGTGTAATTTTGCCGTTCCTCAGGCGAAATATTAATAATTATTTGTTGCCACCAGTGACGTAAAGCGCTCTTTTCTGTATCGGCAGTCGTGAAAGATCGGAAGTCACACATGGGCTATTGTTGTATTCCATCAGTTCATTGTTTATCGTATTGAAGTATTATGTGTGTGTGTGTGTGTGTGTGTGTGTGTGTGTGTGTGTGTGTGTGTCAATTCTGATTTTCCAGGATTTATACGTAACATATTATAAACGTGTATATTACAAACGATAGAGATGTGTGACAGAGATGTGTGGTATACTATACGTAAAAGGTTTGTCACGTACCTAAGTCTCAACAATCCCTCCATTTGCGAATCTGTGATATATTTGTGTCATAATTTATAATTTTTTATTCACAGTACTCTCAATCGTACCAGAAGTGGTCCTATTATACCTACAGGGAGCCTTTAATCGTCTTCATCACGCAACATGGCACTCGTCCCCGAATTAGTATTTTGGTTACTTTTATATTTAAACTAATCTTCACAGATCTTTTCCAGATATACTATTATGTTTAAACTTGATTGGCCTAATATTGTAAATAATTTGTAAGGGGTTACATCAAATTATATTTTCATGAAATTGTTTTGAAAAATTATCAATTTTACAATAATACAATAATATCTACAGTTTAATAAGACAACGCCACGTTAAAAGTTACAATATAAATAACGATTGTTACAAAAACTTAAAAATCTTAAAAAACTAATTGATAATGTCCTCACCTTTAAGTTTGAAAATAGATTTTTCACTCTAATGTTTAAATTTACAACAGAGTATTGGTACTATATAATACTGAACGCAAATTGTCCGCGTTTGCAAAAATAAGTCTTCATGAAAAAAACATCCACTAATTCAATGTCAATGATTAACTGATTAAATCTTCATTGAAGTAGTCCAAACCATTAACGAAACCGGAAACAGACGGTTGAACTTTAAATTTTCATTTATCTGGTTAGAAAACTAAAAAGGATATTAACATATCTTGGGTATAATAGAACAGACTGAGGTTTCCTGACAGTTGAATTATAATATTGGTACTATGTCAAGTGTTCGAAAATAATGTATTAGAAAGTCAAGTGTCATAAATTTAAATCTGCCAGCATTTTCATCTATTCATGTGAATATGCTTGGAGGAATTTAAAAATGCAATTTAACATTGAGCAGCAACCTGTATCATATTTTTACGAGAATTACAATACAGGTTGCTGTTCATTGTTAAATTGCATATTTTTACGAGAATTACAATTAGAATTCGGTATCTCAACAATAGAACACCGAAAAGGCACGAGCCTATTTTCCCTTCTGAAATGTGGTCCGTTTCATCAAGGACATTAACCGGTACTCCAAGAACGTCAAACTCTGCAGAAGGATGGCCCGATGGCATATTAAGATTCACCGACTTTTTACATCTCATCCTGATAACTTTTATCATTTACCTATTAATTTTAATTATATTGTATAGCAAAACAATATTGGATGGCATTGAATGTCCTTTATGAAATTGACTTTTCCTTAAATTTAAAGAACAGTTTTATTATTATTATTATTATTTATCATTTAGTGTGCACTTAAGAGGCCATAACTCTAGAACCACTTATTTCACAGAGTACAAACTTCCCAGAAACCATCTACATATCAATCTTAATATGCCCTGAAATTTTTATCGAAATCGGTTTGGTGGATCTTGAGTTATAAAATTTATTCAAAATGTACACTTATTTATATATATATATATATATATAGATTATATATTTATATTATAAATTTGCAAATGGCACTAGAGGCTTTAGCGGCTAGCGCTGAGATGTTCGTGCTTATCGCCTCCTAGTCAAAACTAACGATAACTCAGGATCCTGATAATATTATAATGACATAACTCGTGGACTTCAGCTGAAATTTAATTTTATAAACGAAAATGTTTATTTCTTGAAGTATTTTTTTCTTCTTGATTATTCAACGTCGTGGGTGACTACTCGAGCGCGACATTTCAGCTGAACAGAATTTTAACTTCAATTCGTTTATTTTTTTCTCAAAATTTCTAGCATTATCCACGTTTGATCGTTATATTAAAGTAAAACGTTTTTTTCCAACGAAAATAAATATGTCCATCTGCAGCAATAGGTTTTGTACAACATTAACATTAAGTCGTATTTTCGTTATATTACTCATGGAATTATATCTTAATTTCTACATTTATAATACCTGTTAAAAGCTCTGCAGTAGGCCATATATACAGTCATAAGATTTAACGGTATCTATTGTACCTATGAAAACAAAATGTTGACGGGTTGGTGAATAAAAAAAAATAACACATTTGAAATATTAAAGGAAAGAAGGAATTACATTTTTTTTTTTTTTTTTTTGCTGAATTACGTTTCCATTGAATATTTTATCTATAAAAAGAGTAGGCATTTATTATATAAGAACATATTATATTTGTTGATTTTGTTATGATACGTTTATTCTAATGTCAACGAGTATTAAAAAAGAGCCATGTGGCAAAGTTATTTGTAAGTGATTTTCGTTAGCTGTCCTCTCATGTGTTATGTAATTATGATTTTTCAGTGTAAATTCAAGCTTAAAATATGATTCAAAAAACGTAACACAGGACGTAAATGAAACAATAAAAAATATGACGAATGAGAATTAACGACAGGTGTTGGTTCAATACATTATATATAAATATAATATTTTAAACATATAAAAATTATTTAACATATTATTAACTTATATTTTCAACATAAGTTATTGTCATCAGATAAATGTATTTTGTATTAATGTAAGCTGTATAGATTTGGTTTTATTTTTTTTCTTCTCTCTTTATTGTAAAAATGTCTGTTATAAAAAATATGTATTGTAATGTCAAAAAGAGCTAAGCCCGTATAACTAATAAAATAAAAATAAATGATAAATAATATAAAATGTATATTATGAAACATTAAAATAGTGTAAATGTATCAACTCTTTATTAATATTATTATCCACTTCAATATTTCATATGATTTGAAATATTTTTAATAAAAATATCTAATTTAATATAAATCTAACATATTCTGTCCTACAATGATATTTCTTAATTTTGTTTTTAGAAAAATTTAGATTTTTTTTTAACTTTCAAAAATCCTATATAACCTAGCCTGTGATTTGTGAATAGTTGAGTTTAATTTCCACCTCCTCCGCCACCAAAAAAAACCAGTAGGTTATTATTAGGTATTTTTTTTTTTTTTAATAAGGAAAGATTTAACTATCTTATCTAAAGTTATAATATTTTTAGTAGATGTAGTATCAAACTTTTAAGTCCATTCGTGAAGAGTATTGATTGGTTGCTTTACACTACTCGATTGATCGACGAAGAAGATGTATCAAAGGCAATGCACTAATGTTAAAATTAATTTCCTTACAATATATGACGAGTAAGATTTTGAAATTTAGAATGACAAGGTATTGGTAAGTACGGAAATTGAAGGATGAAATTGGTTTCAGTATATCTCATAAATACATACACAATATAGTATATACGTCATACAATTTTATTTTTAATCTATGATAAATTGTAATATGGTGCACTAAAGTTAATTTCCTATTAACTTTCAACTTATTACACAAAAGTCACTAGACAAGAAAATAAGTCTCAAAAGTTAAATCACATAAAGATACATTTTTAATTAATTTGTTTTTCAGATATATATTATTATATATATACAATCTTTACAATATAGGGCACAATACGAATGTGTGTGGGATAAGTGGATATAATAAGATAGGTATCACATTTCTTGATGGTAGAAGCCACTCGACACTTCCCATAAGGATTAACGACGTAGATAGTTTTAGATGCTTCAACATAAAAAAAAAACGTACTCTACTAAGCCAGTAAAAAATTGTGGTTTTCATTTGAAATAAGGCAGTTTGTACTACCACAGAAAAATTATTAAAATATGATAATGTACAGTGTATAATAATATACTTATCTACCTGTTTTACATTACATGATTATTTAATATTTAAACTCTACACATCTATAATAATAATTCAACAAATATTAAGTATGTTATATCAATTAGCAATTTAAGATCATATAATATTATGCCCATACCTAATCCACTAAAATATATTATCTATATACAAAATAATTTTTCTTTGATTACGAAAAAATCATAAAAATAAAAAAATTTAGCTACCTACGGATTATTTTGAAATCAACTGAGAAAAGCTAAGTTATTTCAAGTGTCAAATAAACCAATGTAGGTAGTTCATAAGTTGATTAGAAAATTAAGTAACTAGTAAATGTGGGCAATCTTTGCTATACAGTAAATATATAGCTAGTAAAATATTAGGTATATATTGTAAGTCCGTAACATAGATTTACTCAGTGGGACTATATTATTACTGAATGGAGGTATTATTATATGTATATTGATAAGTTTGAAGTATAACACACTATATTTCCATATATATAATAGTTAGCACCCAGGTGGATTAAAGTTTATTGATGTACATTGTACAACAATAAATAAAAAATGGACACACTTATTTCTATAACTTTTTGGATTTTTTTTTAATTGATATTTTTCTTTACTTATATACCAATTTGATAGTTTTTACAGATTATTACATATGTTACTCGTATTTCGAGCAAATCAGCTCTGTTGTGAAAACGCCACTTACGTAATTTTACCACCTAGATAATGATTTTTGCACAGAATTCGTAAACACCGATATAAGTATTTATTAAGTCACATAAATAAAAAATGTTTATTTCACAACCATTACCATAATATATTATTACTATTTGTAGCAATTGTTGAAAATTCATGCAAAAGCTTTTATGTTTTTTTTTTTTTTTTATAGTATTGGCCATCGGGAAGCCAAAGAACTTATTCTGGGTAGCTTAAATATGTGTAAAATATTTTTTGAATTCACAATAAATATTTGTTATTATTTATAAATTATAATGAATGCAATCTGAGTTTCTCAAAACTTAAAATATAAGACGAATTTTACGTCTCAAAAAAAATCACTTCTGAGTTCTAATATCCACACTCCCAGAAAATATTCAGTGTCGTCTCAAAATATCATCCTTATATAGAGGTTAAATAATGCATTAATAATAATAACAACAAAAAACGAATATAAAATAGTCATGTATATTATTTATGTAATGCAATTAATATCTACATACAAAATCAAGTAAGTCAATCAATAGTTAGGTACGACAAACAATAAATTTATCTTCAATTTTTGTTTTAGTTTTTCTTAAATATTGCATTTTTTTTAATACACATATTCATATCATATGTTTTTTATAATAATAAAACAAATCGTTTGGTCGATTTACGAGACGGATACAATAGAATTTTCTATTCTATCAGTTTACTTATGAACTATAGTATAGTCTTATAAACATCAAAGGATTTTCCTCTTTCCTCGAATTACAATTATTATCAAACGTTGTGTTACAAACAGTACAAACTTTAGTTGTCACAAAATATTTATTATATTATAACTTGACTACTAAGAAACTGTTTATGTACAATCTCTAATTTCAATTGTATTTTAACATTGTATTAAATTCTTAGTATTGGACCTACTGAATAATTTTGAGATAAACAATAACTTCGAGGCTTAATAACTAGGACATTTCTTGAGCAATAACTAAAATTTATTTTACTTGGCTAAAAATGATAAACAATTTTTTTGTAACAATTGATTTATATATTTATATTTATGTATACAATTTTAGTAGGCATATTATTAGATATTATTAAATTAAAAAGTCAAATATACGGAAATGAACATGTATGAAAATCCGAAAATATGGTTTCGTTTAATAATTGTATCCACAATATTTATTATACATTAACTGGAAATGGTAAGGTAAGCTAGTGCAATTTAGATAAAAAATATAATGAGGTCAAGTGAAAAATGTATAACATGTATTTACATCAAAGTATAAATGCTAGGCGGTTTAAGTTAAAATCCATATATATTATTAAATATCGATTAGTTTTCGTGGAACGTGTCAATGGGCACTGAAATTTATATCATTTATGAAAATAAAAATATAATAATTTTTAAAATACAAAGCAAATGACAAATAATATTTATTTTATGCATAAAAATTATAGTACAATTTGTACAGTTAATATTATATTATTTTTTTATTTTTTAGATATCTAATCTATTATATAAAAATAAGTCCGGTTTTCCTCCCTGACGCTATAACTCGAGAACGCACGAACCGATTTCCACGGTTTTGCATTCGTTGGAAAGGTCTTGGGCTCCGTGAGGTTTATAGCAAAGAAAATTCTGGAAAATTCAGGAAAAATTCAACAGAAAAGTGGGGAAATCGTTTTTCACATACAGCGCCATCTATTATACATAGCATGTACTTCAAACCACCATCGACAACAT